ACCCCTATCCTATCTAAGAACCTCACCTGGCTGCCCCTAACTACCACGACCTTACCAATGGGCAAATTGAATAGTTGGCCTTCTCTCACTGACCTCAGGGGCGGGAGTTACGAGACCGCACCTTCTAATGTAGGCCTATCCCACACTCAGGCGACTGGCATCACCAACCGTCACCCCAAACACTTACAGCTCGCCTGGTGATCGCTGGTACAAATACGGAAATTTAGCAATCAACTGCTTTATGGGATGAGAAGAACCTTCAGTGGCATTGATTAGGATGACGTCTGATATTCACCGACACACTGTGAAATTCCTCCTCCCGCCTACTGAGTATGTCCCTCCACTACTACTACTACTACTACTATTGCTACTACTTTTTTTAAACGTGGCCTCCAGCCATCCCCCAATAGCCACACCTTCGCCGCCATTTTATTACCATAAAATTAAATATCCTAATGCATAAGTAGCTATCCTAGCTGTGTTGAGTTAGTTGAGCCGCAGATCTATGCGGCATTCAGTGATTGTTGCCTCATAGTCAATCTGCAACTGTTGTCGGCTTTGCAACTACTATTTCTAGTACGACTACTACTATTACTCGTACTTTGCTATCACTCGGAATCAAGTATGACGATCATCCAGCTATGATACAATGATACTGTAGGAGTTATTAAGGATGTCACCTTCGTTGGTGGCCTTTGAGGTGACTCGAGACACCGATACGGGATTGGCAGAGTGGTCCACAGATGTTGCATGTATGGAGGGCTACATGTAGTGCGGGAGGGACGGCGGCAGCGTCTCTCCGGCGTCTCGGTATGCAGTCAGGCTAATTCGAAAGTATTAGCACCTTCTCGTGTAGTGCTCCTTCAAGCGTTACGGCGTGTTGTGATCGTCTCCCAGGTGAGGGGATCGATTTGGTACTTTTTCAAGTTGATTTAATACCTTTTCCGTTGTCCGCCAACGTTACGTTTATCAGTCGTTAGGTGGCTGCAAAGTAGCTGCTTTGGCAGTCTACTATCGTCCATGTGGATATCATGGCCAGTCCAACGAACTTGTTCATGGATAATTGTTGGTGTCAGCGACGGGTACAGAGTCTACCAAAGGCTTGAGATACACATCTGATTCGTTGTTGAATCTCTTCATCGATGTCTGCGGTGGTGGAAAGGTGGGAACTAAGTTATTGAAAGTAAAAATAGATAGAGAGAGCAGTACCGTTAAGCAGGATGGAGGGTGGAGGTGTGGTTGAACCAGTGGGCAGGTTGAAAGAGAATCAGAGTCTTACTTGAAATCATATCAAGGCCGAAGTGTGCATACGCATCTGCGTAGGTGTTTAGGATCTCCTATAAGTCGCGTTCAGTTTGAGCGACGAGGGTGAGGTGGTCTGCATACTGAAGTTCAGTGATGGAAGCATCCGACACCATTGTTCCTGCCTGGGGTTGTCTTATGTTGCAGAGTTCCTTCATCGGGTACTAGATGTCAACCCCGCCGGGTAAACTGGTACTGACACGAGTAAGGAAGGCAGCCAAGAAAATTGGAAAAAAGAGTTGGTGCTAGTACACACCATTGTCTTACCCCCGTTTGGATTAGGAAGAACTCAGACTGGGTGTCATTGTGTATGACTTTGCCGTTCATGCCATCGTTGAGTTGCTTCACAATGTCAATGAATTTTGGTGGGCAGCAAAGACGGTTGAGGATACGCCAGAGTGCTTTCCTGTTGACCGAATCGGAGGCCTTAGTAAGTTCAATGAAGGCCATGAATAAGTCACGAAGCTGTTCTCTGCACTTTTCTTGTATCTGTTTGGCAGAAAAGATCATGTCAGTGGTGCCACGTGATGGTCTAAATGCACATTGAAATTCTGGGAGGAAGTTTTCCACCTCAGGAAGAAGTGTGCTTCGGAGGATTCGGGCGATAATCTTGCCAGCTATGGACTTTATCGAGTTCCCGCCGTAGTTGCCACAGTCTCACCGGTCCCCCTTCTTTTTTATAAATATTGACGATCGAACTCACCCATCCACACCTCCACTCACCTACACCTTCCCCTACCCACCCACATCCCACACACACTCACAAGTAATATCGAGGAATTATTAACTAACGTTTTTTCTGTGCATTAGTTTTATTATTGAAATATGAAGAGGTGACAGCTGTAGTCGATGTTGCTGCTGCAGTGTTCATGACAGGTGAAAGGTGTTCATGACAGGTGGGGAGAGTGTTAAGATAAGTGGGGAGGGTATTCATAACAGGTGGGGAGGGTGCTTAATGTCAGGTGGAGAGGGTGTTCATGATAAGTGGGGAGGGTGTTAAGATAAGTGGGGAGGGTATTCATAACAGGTGGGGAGGGTGCTTAATGTCAGGTGGGGAGGGTGGTCATGACAGGTGGGGAGGGTAGTTATGGCAGGCGGGGAAGCTGGTCATGACAGGCGGAGAGGGTGGTCATGACAGGTGGGGAGGGTAGTCATAACAGGTGGAAAGATGGTCATGACAGGGGGGAGGTAGTCATGACAGGTGGGAAAGGTAGACAGGTGTGGGCGCTGGTCATGACAGGTAGGGAGGGTAGTCATGACAGGGGAGGCAGGTCAGACAGGTGGGGAGGGTAGTCATGACAGGCGGGGGGGCTGGTCATGACAGGTAGGAGGGTAGTCATGACAGGCGGGGAAGCTGGCATGACAGGCGGGGAGGCTGATCAGTGACAGGTGGCGAGGGTAGTCATGATAAGCGGGAGGCTTGCCAAGTGACAGGCAGGAGGTTGGTCATGACAGGTGGAGGGGTAGTCATGACAGTCTGGGTGGCTGGTCAGGTGGCAGGTGGGGAGGTGTTCATGACAGGTGGAGAGGGGGTTATGGCAGGTGAGACAGGTGGTTACAGGTGGGAGGCTGTCACAGGTGGGGAGGGTAGTCATGACAGGTGGGGAGGGTAGTCTTGACAGGTGGGGAGGGTAGTCATGACAGGTGGGGAGGTTGGTCATGACAGGTGGGAGGCTGGTCATGACTGGCAGGAAGGTAGTCATGACAGGCGGGGAGGCTGGTCAGACTGGTGGGGGTAGTCAAGACAGGTTGGGGTAGTCATGACAGGCGGGAAGGCTGGTCATGACAGGTAGGAGGGTAGCGACAGGTAGTGACAGGTAGGGAGGTAGTCATGACAGGCGGGAGGGTAGTCATGACAGGGAAGGCTGGTCATGACTGGTGAGGGTAGTCATGGCAGGCGCGAGGGGTTGGACGTCCTCAATAGTACCCATAACGTGGTACAGTCCAGCTGATGTTGATTTAAGGAAGGTTTCCAGCCGGGTTTATTTCCTGTGTAAACCTGAGTTAAAGGATATGTGGAGAGGGAAGGAGGGGAGGGAGAGAGGAAGGAGAGTGAGGGAGAGGAAAGTGAGAATGAGGAGAGGGAGTGAGAGTGGGGAGAGGAGAATGAGGGAGAGGGAAGTGAGAATGAGGGAGAGGGAAGTGAGAATGAGGGAGAGGGAAGTGAGAGTGAGGGAGAGGGAAGTGAGAGTGGGGGAGAGGGAAGTGAGACTGGGGGAGGGGGAAGTGAGAGTGAGGAAGAAGGGAAGTAGGAGCGAGGGAGAGGGAAGTGAGAGAAAACGTAACTCCCCTTATGTACTGTACACACACTGGTCATGTACACATGACTCCCCTCATGTATACACACACACACATACACACAATGGTCTTGTACACATGATTCCCTTCATGTATGCACACACACACACACACACACACACACACACACACACACACTGGTTTTGTACACATAACTCCCTCGAGTACACACACATTGATCTTGTACACATGACTCCCCTTATGTATACACAAATACACACTGGTCTTGTACACATAACTCCCTCAAGTACACACACTGGTACAGTGTATATAGTGACAGCTACTGGACCTACAGCTGTCATGTGCAGCTACTCTACGGCAGAGAAAATGAGAAAGAGAGAAGTGACAGGAATAGGACAGAGAGAGAAATAAAGAACAGAAATAAAGAAAGTGAGAGAGAGAGAGAGAGAGAGAGAGAGAGAGAGAGAGAGAATAATGATAAAATATACAAACTCTGTACGCACTCTACAGTACACGTCATGTATGTATCCACCAGCAGGGAATCGAAAGGTAAAATATAAAATAAATCATTAACTTCATAAACAAATACTTATATTCTCGCTTTAGAGATATTCAATACTTTACTATGGAATACGAATTTATTCCACCGGCATTTCTTTTGTTTATTTGCGTGACGTCATATTCAGGAGCCGTGACTAAGAACCTAATGTAAAAGTATTGAATGTCATAAAATAGAGTTTAATTTGTCGATTTAATACTTAGAAAAGACTCTCCAAGAACCAAAGTAGGTGTGTAATTACTTTACTGTCGCTGCTGCATAATTGTATTCTCCGGATTAATAAGGAAAGCAACTTAAATCCAGTCAGAGATAATTAGATTCTTGCACTGAAAGTTATTTAATGTCACTGCTAAAGGCACTCCAGTGAGTTGATAAAAAAACAAGCATCATTGAACTGCAGATATCGGGTTTTAGTAGGAACGGGGTGTTGAGGCAGTGCTCGGTTCACAACTGCCTCCTCGGGTGTGTGTTTACCCTCACTGTGTTAGCGGTGTGCCCGCCTCACCGCGGTCAGTGACGTCATCATTGATTTAGACACACCATATGTGTTACCTGGTGAACAGTTCCTCCAACCTGACGGAATTTGTTCACTTTTGATGACACGGAAATAAACTCGAGAGAACCAATAGTATTTTAATAGAATAAAATATTTTGTTTTGTACTCTACTGTAACGCTACCGAAAAGGAAATAAAGAGCGAAGTACAAGAAATTATATTGTGCAGAAAGAAAGAGAGAGAAAGAGAGAGAGAGAGAGAGAACGCAAGCCAAGGTCAGTCGAGTCGCGTCAAAACATGAGGTGGGTCATTTATGTCAGACCACCTTACACCAAGACAGTGCCAGGTAAGAGGTCAAGGCAGGTGAGGTGAGCCAGGTACTGACCGAGCCTCTGGAGGAAGGCGGCGTAGTTGTTGTGGACGACGGGGTCGGAGGGTCGGGCAGCCAGCAGCGCCAGGTACAGGTTCTCGGCGTCCGTGGGGCGTCCAGCGTCCCCGTAAAGCCCCGCTAGGGTAGACACGGCATCCCTGTTGGTGGCGTCATACCGTAGACTCTCCTCCAACAACGCCACCGCTTCTCCAACACGGCCCTGCTGTCTGGTGAGGGAGAGAGTGTGTGTGAGAGAGTGGAGTGCTGAAGGAGAGTGAGAGTACGGTAGTGATTGTTGTCCAGCAAAAGTTACGACTTATTCACCTCGTTCCTGTAGCCTAGTGAAGTGCAGGGGGGAGGGAAGGAGGAGGGAGGTATGACAGAATGAGGGATAGAAGAAGGGAGGGATGGAAGAAAGGAGGGAAGGAGGGAGGAAGGGATGGAGTTAGGGAGGGAGGGAGGAGATGAGAGAGAGGGAGGAAGGAGGGGAGGAAGGTGGGGGAGGAAGGAATACACAGGGAGGGAGGGAGCGACGGTAGAGAGAGGTGGCAATTTTCTTCCGTAGGACAAAACTTATGGCATCACTGACACGATTCCCTTGCCTGCTAGGGGGCGAGGAGGAGGAGGAGGGGGAAAGGGGACGGGGGGAGGAGGAGGAGAAAGAAGAATATTAATGCAATAAAGACATCCTCGTCCAGCATAAGTTACTGCTTCTCCAACATTGACGACACTCTCTTACTTGGTGTTGGTAGGGTAGTGAGAGAGGAGTAGGGGGTAGAAGGTGAGTGATTGTGTATGTTGGAGAGAGAATTTTAGGGGGAGGGAGAGTGAAGGAATGGGTGGGTTATGATGGGGGAGTGAGTGATTGGTCATGGTTTGGGTAGTCATGATAGTGGTGGGCGTGCTAAAGGTAAGCATGGTGTGGGTAAGGCCGTGATGAAAATGAGCGTGGTACTTACTGTCTGTGGCTGGCCAGGTTATAGTAGGCATGGGCGTGCTGGGGGTGGGCGTGACACTGTTTAAAGTTGGCCAGGTTATAGTAGTCGTGGGCGTGTTGTGGTGGACGTGGCACTTACTGTCTGTGGCTGGCCAGGTTATAGTAGACTTGGACGTACTGAGGGTGGGCGTGACACTTACTGTCTAAAGTTGGCCAGGTTGCAGTAGGCGTGGGCGTGTTGGGGTGGGCGCGGCACTTACTGTCTGAGGTTGGCCAGGTTGTAGTAGGCGTGGGCGTGTTGGGGGTGAGCCTTCAGCGCCAGACGGAAGTGTTTCTCCGCCTCTGAGGTGTTGTTGACCAGTGTCCCCAGGTTGTTGTGGGCGCTGGGGTGTCCTGGCCACAACCTGGGGGAGTAAGTGAGATTTCTGGAGATGTACCCCCGAGGAGTGAGGAGGGCTACTGGGGTAGATGTACACTGGCGGAGTGAGAGATGAATAGGGTTACTGGAGTTAAAAGGGACTTAATCACATTCAAGAGTTGTGTCATGCTGAGAGAAAAGATGGTAACACACACACACCTACGTCGGCGCTCTTGCAGCTGCCTTTGGTCATCATGTTGACCCTTCCTGCCTCCCTTCCCTCAACTCCTCTTCGCCGGGATGTACACTCGCTACAAAAATCATCTGCAAAATTTTATGCTAGACGATATGACACAATAGAGGAAGGATTTTAACAACTCTACCGAGACAACAGGAGTCGCAGTGTTCACTTTAATATCCATCGAACCCCACCTTGAAGATACTTTCTGTATTGAGTGTAGAGCACCAACCTCACACCAAGAATATATCGCAAAGATTGATGGTTAATCAATAAATGATGCAGGAGACAATGAATCCCTGGACGACAGTGTTATAGTTCTACTAAAATTAACTTAGCAAGAGGCACTAAGTACACTGGCCCCTCTCAGCTCTCTCATCATCGTTGTTTCCAGCCATCAGTCTGTTGTACCGTCTACGCTAACAGCCATCACAGAACGGATCCCCATCGTCGTGCAAGTGGTCGACACCACAATGGCGTCAGGCCCACAAAACAAAACCCTTTACAGCCATTGTGAAAACGATCAGGTTAAAAGCTCACTTGCGAGTTTATCCCATATTTCTTCATCTTTCTATGCTCCCCTCCCTAGGTCACCAAAAGAAATTTATGTATTTATAGTTATTTCTGTTCAGTGTACTGTACAGTATATCTTCAGCCTTCGGCTGGTATCGTTATTATTACTATTATTATCTCCCACTCTCTCATTCATAAAGTACAATCAACACCTCCTTGATATAACTCCCTCCCTCACTCTCTCTCTCTCTCACAGTGTGGCGAATTACCATGACAGCTTTACCATCCAAAATGAACCCTGAAACCAAGGATGAAATTGTGTGTGTGTGTGGTGTAGGACGCCGTCTGTGGGTGTGTGGTGCTGCATGCCCCCCAGTGTGTATGTGTGTGTGTGTGTGTGTGGGGTGAGGGACGCCCCGTGAGAGTGTGTGGTGTTGCACGCCCCCCCCCCCCCCCCCAGTGTATATGTGTGTGTGTGTGTGTGTGTGTGTCATTGACTACATCATTGTCAGTTAAAGAGATCGCCGAGATGACCTCATCACCCGTGTCATACGTGGTCCAGACCACTACGACATTGATCATTGGCTTTCAGAACCAAGCTCTCACTTCACGCCGCCCAAAAACGGCGAAGGCAGCAAGCCTCTAGATGAGGTTTTAACACTAAGCATATGGAGGATCCAGCGGTAACACATGCCTTCAGAGAGCATCTCGAATATGGGCTGATAAACAACCCGACAACGAACAACCCAAATGCCAGTGCCGAATGGGATATTCTCAACATTGTCATGACAAAAAACTGCAGGGTGACCCTCGGCCAGATTGAAAGAATACACTAGGACTGGTTCGATGAAAATGACCCGGCAATCAATGTACTCATCAATGATAAATGTGCTGCTTTGACTGACTGGCAGAACAACCCTCAGTCTCGGACCAAAGCTGATACATTCCACAAGAAGAAAGCTGTGGCCCAGCAGGAACTTCGCAATCTAAAGAATGATTGGTTTAAAAATAAAGCATGTGAAACACAAAAATTTGCAGATCAGCACAAGATGCGCGAATTTTTTCAATTCCACCCAAACATTTTATGAGCCAATCACTCGTGCCGCAGCCCCCTTTCGCTCATCCGATGGTAACTGAATAATTTAAGACGATGAAAGAGCAGTACCACTCACTGCTCAACCGAAACACTGATGTGGATGTCCTGACTACTCAGGTCCCTCAGCATCCAGAGCTGACCCACCTCAGCCATCCTCCATCCCCGTATGAGGTAGCTGCTGTCATCAAACAGATGAAAAATAACGAAGCCTCAGGGCCTGACGGAATCCCAGCCGAGGTTTATAAACCAAGAGAACCTCTGCTTACCTGCTGTCTAACTCTCTCTTGGAGAATTTATAGGAACAGGGGGAAATCCTCCAAGCTCTTAAAGATGCCTCCATCGTCAATATTTAAAAGAACAAGAGAGACCTGTCAGACTGTGGCATCTACCGCGGGATCTCGCTGCTGTCCGTAACTGGCAAGATTATCGCCCGAGTCCTCCTAAACAGACTTTTTCCTGAGGTCGAGAACTTTCTCCCAGAATCTCAATGTGGCTTTAGAGCATCACGTGGCACCACTGATAAGATCTTTACTGCCCGCCAGATACAGTAAAAGTGCAGATAACAGCGTCAGGACCAGTACATGGCCTTCTTCGAAGTAACCAAGGCCTTCGACTTGGTCAACAGGGAAGCACTCTGGGCGGACCCTCAGCCGTTTTGGGTGCACACCAAAATTCCTCGTCATTGTGAGGCAACTCTACGATGGCATGAATGGCAGTGTCTTGCACAATGGCACCGAGTCTAAGTTCTTCCCCATCCAAACAGGGGTAAAACAAGAATGTGTATTAGCACCCACTCCCTTTTCCCATTTTCTTGGCTTCCTTCCTTACTCATGCCAGTCGCAATTTAGCCGGCGGGGTAGACATCCAGTACTGGATGAAAGGCTCTTCAACATAAGAGGACTCCAGGCAGGAGCTAACGTGTCGGCAGTTTCCATTACTGAATTTCAGTGTGCAGATGTCCTCACTCTTGTCACTCACACTGAACACAACCTACAAGAGATCCTGAACACCAATGCAGATGCGTATGCACACTTCAGCCTTGAGGTGAATATACGTAAGAATAAAATTCTCTTTCAGCTTGCCCTGGTTCAGCTACACCTCCACTATCCATCCAGCTTAACGGTACCACCCTCTCTCGTGTTACCCACTTTCAGTATCTCGGCTCCCACCTGTCCACCACCGTGGACATCAATGAAGAGATTCAACATTGGATCAGATATGCATCTCAAGCCTTTGGTAGACTCCATACCCGTGTCTTCAGTTGTAGGGAGCTGAAATTATTTACAAAATTGCACGTGTTTCGAGTAGCGGTCCTCCTAATCCTGCTGTATGGCAACAAGACGTGGCATCTAAAAATTTTCACAAAAGTAGTCTCCGTTTTATTCCCAAAATTCGCTGGAAAACAAGAGAAAAAAGGCCAGTATTCTCTCTGACACCAACTGTAGGAACATCGAGGCTACCATTTTCCATGAGCAACTACGTTACCCGCATGGACGACAGTAGACTGCCAAAGTAGCTGCTTTACAGTCACCTAACGAATAGTAAAGTTACGCTGGCGGGCAACTGAAATGGTGTAAGGATAGTCTTAGAATAAACCTGAAAAAGTGACAAATCGACCACCTCACGTGGCAGACGAATACTCCACACCGTAACGCTTGGAGGAGCACCACATGAGAAGGTATCAATACTTTCGAGTTAGCCCGACTGAATACCGAGGCAGACAAGCGCCAACGCCGGAAAGACGCTGCCGACGCCCCTCCCGCACTAGACGTAGATCTCCACACATGCAACATCTGTGGACGACCCTGACGGTCCCATATCGGCCTCTCTAGTTATACTCGATTCCGAGTGACAGCAAAGAAGTAGTAGTAGTAGCATATGACGCCTCCTGTGTGTGTGTATGTGTGTGCGTGTGATGTAGAACATTCCCTGTGTGTTTGTGTGTGTAATAATAATAAAAATAATAATAATAATAATAATAATAATAATAATAATAATAATAATAATAATAATAATAATAATAATAATAATAATAATAATAATAATAATAATAATAAAGGTTTATTGAAAATGTTCTGCAGCCCGAAGGCTGAAAATATACATTGGAACTAAAATGACTTATTACATACATAGACATGTGTGTGTGTGTGTGTGTGTGTGTGTGTGTGTGTGGTATAGGGCGCCTTCTGTGTGTGTGTGGTGTAGGACGCCCTGTGAGTGTGTGTGTGTGTTTTATGAAGTGACCCCTGTGTGTGTGTGTGCGTGTGTGTGTTTGTGTATGTGTGTGTGTGTGTGTGTGTGTGTGTGTGTGTGTGTGTGTGTGTGTGGTGAAGTACGAACCCTATGTGGTATGTGGTGAAGGACGCCCCCTGTGTGTTTGTGTGTTGTGACGTACGACCCCTGTTTGTGTGTGTGTGTTTGTGTGTGTAATAGCCCCTGTCTCATTGTTGACAGTAATATTATATAAATGTGGGTTAATTACATTTGTCTTGTATAACTTCATCACCCACGGTAGCTTCCCATGAGCAGTGAGATGTCATGCGGTGATCATGTGGTCCATTCATTGAACACATGATCGGTAGCTTTCCACTGTAGGGCGCGTCTGTAAAGAGCTGTCTAAGCTTTCTTCAGAGCTGCTCCTCCCTCAGTAGATATTTAACTCTCACGAGAGAAGGACGTCGAACTAAGCTTCACAGATAAGCTCCGTACCTTCCTCTCAGCGTCTTCACTCAACCCTCACGAAAAACAGAGGTCTTGATAACCAAGCTTCATAAACAAGCTAGCCGTCTGTTTCTAACATCCATAGCTCAATTGAGATAGTTACGGCGAAATCCTTTTTGAAAATGTACATAATAAGCATTTATAATAAACACAGAAGAGGAACATTTTGGGTTTCACTACAGAAAACCCAATAAAATTTTTACATGTTCAAGCACCATTAACTAATAAAGAATCAACGATTAAAGAGCTAGTTAATGTGTGTGTGTGTGTGTGTGTGTGTGTGTGTGTGTGTGTGTGGTAAAGTACGAACCCTATGTGTGAGTGGTGAAGGACCCCCACTGTGTTTGTGTGGTGAAGGACGCTCACTGTGTGTGTGTGTCTGTGTGTGTGTGTGGGGCGAAGTACGAACCCTATGTGTGAGTGGTGAAGGACGCCCACTGTGTTTGTGTGGTAAAGGACGCCCACTGTGTGTGTGTGG